TTTAATCGATTTATAGTTATTCTGAAACATGTCGGACTTCGTCTGGAAATCTGAATATTAAGTGGGTGGTAGGAATATTGATTTTCCGTCCTCAGATGTAAATGCCGTGAAGTCGAATCACATTTCGATTTCATTGTGTGTATTTTTTGCCTGAAGATCACTAGATCCCAGGTTTGATTTCTGGGCCGGGAAAAATGATAGTTCGGTATTTTGGAAATTTTCTTGTAGTAGCAATCTGTAGTGAAAAACGATAATACAACCGTCTCCCTAGGAGAGGGTAGTTGTGGAAGTGCTTTCCCATTCTAGATCAGCGTGGTGGGTCGGGGGGCTCTTAATCCTCTCTCATATAAAAGACAAGACCAGTTCCAGCACTGGGACATTAATAGATTGAAACGTAGCACTATAAGATTAACATATCATGAATTGTTTGCTTACGTTTATAGGTACTAATGGCTCTTGAAGGCTCTGTGTGCAATAATTATTTTTGTACGCGTTTCAAAATAAATAGATCTGATATGAGCCAAGGTGAATATTTCACTGTAATTGTAGAGGTAGGCTGTGACTATTAACGTTTATCAATCTATGAGACGATCAGCTTGCAAAATAATAAAAATACATAGTAGAGTTAAAATATAAAGCAAAGCCACAGATGTAGTGTTTAAGACAGAAAAGGATCGACAATCATGAGATTGACAAGGACAGAGAATCACTTGGTGGAAGATTAATTGCCTCAACAATAACAAAATAAATTATAAATTGATTTTGATCTGGTGGGATCAAACCCACGACCTTGAGATAATTGCTATGCTACCACTAGACCGGTGCCCTTTAGGATTTAAATTTTGTTCCTTTGCTGTGTATTAACCCTCCAAATTAGTACAAACGCTAGACATGGTTAATTGCTTGTTTGTCTACTTCTACATACAAAATGCAATAGTAGTGACCTATATTTTTGTGAATACAAAAGAAGAAAGGTCGTAGTTAATTTTGTGTTTTACTCCGTTAAAAGTATTAAAATAAATCTTTTAGCTACCTTTTATGTACTGTCTATAGTTTACGCGAGTAGTACACATTTAAATAAAACACTTTAACGGTTTAAAACGCGATATATTAGTTACACTTATTTGAAAATGATTTTTAACTTCGGCCCGACGTTTCGGATGCTTTGCAGCAGCCGTGTCTCCCCGTGACCACGGCTGCTGCAAAGCATCCGAAACGTCGGGCCGAAGTTAAAAATCATTTTCAAATAAGTTTAACTAATATATCGCGTTTTAAACCGTTAAAGTGTTTTATTTAAATACCTTTTATGTTCTAAAGATTGTTTGATTGTGAATATCCGTATTTCAAAATTCATATATATTATTTTACACTTTTTTTTTTTATATATCTTAACTTTACGGGTTTGTAAAGATTTAATAGTATCAGTCAATATTTAATAAGATCAATGATAAATTTAGAGGATAAACTTACTTAAATGAATCCACAAGGATATTCTATTTTTTCCCGTATCATCGCTGCTTCCGTCATCAACACACGTCTCCTTGCACTTTGTAACCCTAAAGGTCAAATAAGGACAAAAACGTCTTCCCAAAAGGAAAAGTTAGTTTCCTCATTATTCATAACGCTTGTCACACATCGTTATGCTAATTTTTACGACTGTTTTGTTTTGTACGGACTTGATAATTAATATCGAACGACTTCGAATAGTCGCTGTAAGTCAAGTGCACTCTTTGACGGGTGTGGTGTAATGGCAATGTATGGCTAAAAATCAACGGGTCTTGCTTTCGATCAATTTATATTTATTCTTTAAAATATTTTGAATAGAAGAGCATAAAGTTCACTCGATGGTATGTAAAATACCCCAGTCACATAACGTCTAAATAAGATGCCGACCTACTCGTGAATACGACACAATATAATGCAAGAAGAGATACGGAATTATCCTATTGGCTTATATGAACAAGATAACTTAAATCCTATAGTATCTCAATTTGTTGAAAATTCCTGTATTGCCTGTATTTTAAATTATTAAAAAATCGAAAATAAATTGAAAAAATTTTCGACTCGGGCAGGACATTGCGATAACATGTAAAAAATAATAAACTTTTCAATAGTTGCTTGTATTTTTTCTAACTTGCCAGAAAGGATGTTCCTAATTTTATGATTTAAAAAACATCCATATAGACACTGATGACGTCACGTCTTTAAAAACCTTTAAGATCGGTTGATTTTCTATTGTATCGAATATAAACTCTTTTTGTTTTTAGTGATCTCATTACATAACGACCACTAAACGTCGTTAGTTGTGTATTGTGTTTTTGTAAACAATTACACAATACGACAAACAATGTAAACAGAGCAATTTTAATCAATGTTAAGATGGAAATAAAACACTAAACGATTTAAAACGCAAAATGTTTTATTTTCAATTTTTTTTAATTACGGCCCGACGGGTAACAATGTCAACACTACCACAACTCGGCACTAACAATAAATTCTCGCCCACTGCCACGGTATAACTAATTCTTTTCGCGTTTTTAACCGTTAAAAGTGTCTATAGTTTACGCGAGTAGTACACATTTAAATAAAACACTTTAACGGTTTAAAACGAGATATATTAGTTATACATATTAACTAATATATCGCGTTTTAAACCGTTAAAGTGTTTTCTTTAAACGTTAAAAGTGTATTATTTAAATGTGCAACTCGCCGTAAAGTACAGTGCTCAATGAAGAGATTTTTAAATGCTTATTAATAGAATCATTATCGTTACAACAACATTAATAATTAAGAAATTTCACAGGAAAACGGTTATAAAAACAGTTCTTTTCAATTTCCCTTTCCTGATTGTGATGAAAAACCTTTTCTTATTTAATTTTTTGCCGACCTTACTGTAGCAAATTGTTCTGCTTAACTGTTCAGTCCCCCCCTCGTTAGATTAACTACATAAGGGGGGAGTTAAGTGTACGTTAGTGGCTAAAATTAAACCATGATCAACGTTAGAAACGCGCGTACAAGTGATAAATTGTCCTCCCTGTGTTTAATATTTCTTTGCACAGTAGTGTTCGTTTTCTTGTTTAAAAGGGTAAGAACTCACGACGACTCGGTAGCTCAGTTTTTAGAGCAACAGCATGGAACGCTGACTATGCCGGTTCAAGTTCTGTCCGAGTCGAAATTTTTTTCAATATATTTTCGATTTTTAAATTATATAGTCCCCCATGTGCAATAACATGTGAAAAATTTTAAAGTTTACAAAGGTAAAACCTGGATCCCATTATTAAGAATTTACTGTCTGTTACTAAGCTACATATATATAATCTAGTCTGTGGACGGTGCTTCGCGACGTTCCTACCATTAATTTTAAATAAGATAACCCAAGAATCGCATTATCTAGATACTTGTCACTAATAATTGTTGTATTTTTGTTGCTACATCCAATCTTCCATAAAAAAATTATGTTATTCAACGATGCCAAGAAATTATTGGTAAGAATAATAGAGGTACTATTGGTTCGATCTGACTTTTTTTGGGTTTGACAGAATCTGAAAAAATGTCCACGACAATATATGTCTATCTTGTAAGCTTAACTTGTAAGAACGACGGGGCGCGGACGTCATCGTGGGTAACAGTTAAATTTTAAAAGGGGGTTGGCAAAAATCAATTTTAAAGCCCAAAATAACTATTCTATGTGGACAAAGTTGCAGCCACAGCTAGAATTACAATCTAGTAAATAGTATTTCGACCTCAAACATACATATTATATTGCTTTATTTGCCTTTGAATATGGGACAGATATATTACAAACAGTGGTACGGTTTAATTATAAAAAAACAATACGTTATTTACTGCTCGATGTATAGCTAACAGTAGTATAGTTTCCGTCAACAATGCAACAAAACGATGTTAATCGAAAAAATGTCGTTTCGGCCTTTTGTCATAAGAAACGGATAGCAACGACGTGTGAAAAAGCAGAGGTCACTATGTAAAAATATTAGTATATAGATAGTAACATACAATAAACTAATATTTTTAAGCATTGTAATTGCGTCAACTAATTAAAACACTTTTAACGGTTTAAAACGCAAAACATATCAGTTAATGCACTGCTCGAGGTTTCGAATGCTTTTCAACATTGCTTTTTTTCGTGGTCGTGGCGTACTTAAAAATTAGTTAACTTATATATTTTGTGTTTGATTGAGAACATTATTATGCATTGTTATAGCATCATAAATTACGAGCTCTGGAGAAATGCTTTCACCAACACAATTTGAAATCACGACGTTTGCATCATTCATCTCCACACCAGTGATTTGCTTGTTACCTTATCTACATGAATAATATAATTGTACGCTTGAAAGTTCGTCGGTTGGCTCACGGCGAGCAGGTCCACCAACCTTGGAGTTGCGCCGCGCTTTTTTCCGCAAAGTGTAAATTCACAATTAAGAGGAAAGAATAGCTCTGTGATCCTAATAATTGCGATTTAGGAATACATGCGCGTGCGCTGATGCCCACTTTTAATGTAATGGAGAGCAGTTTGAGGCTGATAATAAATGGCACTTTTCGATAAAATTCCCATTTCGGGTGTTAAGTATTCCACTAACTAAATATTCATAAATAAGATTAATCACTCATTTCTGCTAAATATAAATCATAGATTTTCCATAAAAATCATTTCTTTAAACTTAATGAAAAGTAGCCTAATCACAAATGGTCAATTGCAAATTTAAATTAAATAGTGTCCAACTAAGTCTCTTTTGATGTAACAACTTTCCAAACGTGAAGATCTCTAATTATTTAAAGGACAAAAACTATCCAATTTGTATAGAATATTATTTTCTCTTTATACAAACATCTTGGGTATTGTTATTACAGCGGTCACGGAGCGTCACTCCGCAATTATGCAAACATACATGATTTGTTGGATCTACCTCATGGGCGAGCTGATGAGGGCATGAACTTGATGATAATCGGGCATTGAACGACACCGCAGGGCAATAGATATGATATCCAAGATTCGGTGTGCGAGGCCGGGAGCTCAGGAGAGGTGGAACTTGGAAGTGGCGAACGCGCTCAGTGTACAATCGCACGGCCGCTGCGCGCACGCACCTTTGCATTCGCGTCGCTCGCGCATTCATCGATAGCGTTATCGACTTTCCGCTTTGCCCGCGCGCTATTTCCAACAGTGATATGTCTCGTGATATAATTGATGAGTTCGTCGTCGGTTGAGACCGAGCGGCGCCGCCGAACCGTTCCCATGCTAGTCCCGTATTAGTGTCCGAGGAGATGACGTGATGTGACAACGAAAGGTGCCCGTGGATTAGTTTTGTGAAAGTGTGCAGCTAGTGAGACGCCGTTGCACCCGGCGCCCCGTGACAATGTTGAACTGCACCGATCTGGAATGCATTTTGCACCACCACCACTACTACGCCCATCTGCACCACATACACCACCTGCAGAATGCGCAGGATTCAGGTAATAACGTCACTCGACGATCCATTTTTCCTATAACACGCCTCGTCAGAAATCGAACAATGAAAAGACAAATACAATGAATTTGTTTGTTTAATGCCGAGCGTTAATGTCTGCAGCGATCTTCGGCTATTAGTCCTTGATCGTTGAAATTTTTATCATCAATTTAAGTTGAGCGATAAATTAATGACATATTAATGATCGTTTAAGTGTTTATGAAGGGCCTTGACATTTTGGTGCATATGTTATGATGGAACCACCTCACAGATCTGGAAAAAACCCTTGTAATTGATCTACATATCTACCAATTAAGGCCTATTTACGCAAGGATTCTATTTATTTAGATAATTAAAGTAAAATAATGTCTGATTACTGCAATGAGTGTTGTGAAGATCTGTAAACACATCATGGACATGAAAAATATTAAGATTGTTTCGAGTTAATTTTATTACTTTTTGTGTACGACGCGATGCATATTTCTCGATATCATTATACGACGAAGCATTGGCTAGTCCATTTTATTGGTTTTGTAGAGCGAGCGGTAAACATCAGAAATGGGATCTTTACCATACAAAGACATTCGCGGAGCGAGTCTATCGTTTTCACTCAGAGTTACTTGAACTGAAGGAACTACTCGAAGGAACCGGCTCCGACGCAATGCATAATAAGTGACGTTTTGTTATATCCAAAATAGACTTTTCTTCTCAGAGTCTAGACCGGCAATTGTGAAATTTCATACGAAATATTTATGTAAATAAGTCAATTAGGCTAATAATACAATTAGTGAAATTAATTTCGAAAAGTGAATTAATTAGCGAACTCGGGAAGAGAAAAGAAAGTGTAATATTTCAATTTTCAGCGCCGTCGAGTTATCAAATGAAAGTGGTTGATATATCATTGCGTATTTTTATAATATATGTCTGCTAACATAAACCTGTTACAACATTCCAACATTAAGTTTTCATTGAATTCCATCTGTAGACACTTCTGTCATACTTTAATTATTTATTAAAGCTATTCTTTTGTTACACAGTCAAAAAGATTTGACGTTAAATACAAATATAACAACTGAACAAACTTGTTACAATGGCACAAAATTTTGACCTTCCTGATTAATATTTTATGTTTAATTTGTATGAGGAACTTGACTTGGTCGATACATGTAGAATTTTCAAATAGCCTGAAATTAAGTTATATATAAGAGTATGAGTTATTATTTCTTTGTTTGTCTCTTGTTTCTATACAATATAAAAGAATCGCAAATATTTCATTATATTCATATTATGGTCAGATTTTCATTAGAATATTAACAACTACTTAGTGGATATTTAAAGAAGGATGTATTTTTTACAAAACTAAATAAATTAGGAAGATGACAATTCTCAGAACAATCGCAAAACTTGTTTTAATGTGTAAATATTTTGCCATTTTAACGAATTCTACTAACGCATACGAATTAGTTAAATATAAAAAGTGGATTCTGGCTAACAGCTTTTTGTATGTTTTGGTCTTGATTTTGAATACCTAATGCATATAAAGTCTCAGGTACCTTTAGGAGTAGAGTGGAGTATTGAATCCAAATTAAATTTTAACATGGAATAAAAAAATCTAATCAAAGAACATTCACATTTAATGAATCGTTAAACCAACAACAATTAATACTTTACGCAAAGCTAGCCTAGTTTCCTGTATTGTTTGATTTAGTAATAAAAACAAAGATAATTTGCCTTGTAAATAATAAGTATTAAATGTAGAAATAGTTTTATAAGAGGAATCTTGGTTTTTAAATAGTCTTAGCTACAGATGAACTACACCAACTAGTCAAAAAGTATTTTTGGATAAAACATGGTTGTATGGGATTGACATATTTACGTATCAAATATTTTGCAAGAAAAAAATATGTTAACATGTCAAAAGAATTTTACATTTTTCTTAGTTTAAAAATGTAAGATCATATAACATATAATATAGATAAGACACAGAGTATCACTTAATATGTCTTTGTTTAAAACCGTTCTATTTAATATGAAGGTGACCGCAGGCACAAATCAGAAAATAATGTTTTCAATAATGTTTTGTTCCATTTTAGATAATGTAAGGCACAAGACATGACACGATATTGGTACACTGATACGAGGAAATTGATAAGTTTATCTCGAATACATACTGACACTGTTTACTCTGTGCAATAGGAAGTAATGTTAATACGAAATAATTGTATGCACATTTAATTAATGTAATCTTTTATGGTATTGTGATGTTTGTTTTAACATGAATCGTATCACACCTTGTCTCATGTTTTGTCAAAATGAAATTTTTGACATAAGAGAAAAAATTTTAAAATAAGTGATGCATATTGATAGTAACAAAGATATTTTAGAATACAATTAATTCATGAATGACAGCTAATGAATTTTTCTTTTAAAACATAGGATATTCAAGTCTTAAACTCTGTTTATTAATGCTAGTCCGCATTTTAAAGTCGCACGAATCTATCGCGAAGGCAATTTCGAATGAAGAAATCAATCATAATGAAATTCCTTCACACTTCATTTACATGTCGAGATAAAAATGTCCAGTATTTACGCTAACTCATAAAACAGTGAAAGTGTTGATCCGTTTCGCGATCTCACGTTATGGATGAATTAATTTTATTATATCGAGTGTACACTAGACTTTCAGATTTCTTAATTGTCTAATACTAGCGTAAAATTACTATTTGAGCTAACTGCATACAATAATCTCAAATATTTCGCGAGTAAACCTTAATTTATTCACCTTTAAGCCACGGTTGCTGCATAGCATCCGAAATATTGGATAGAAGTACAAAATATATGTAAGTACTTTTAATTGAATTTAACTATGTTTCGTCCAATGTTTCGAAAGCTTTGCAGCACAGAGGGACTGAAGGTGGAGGGTGTCCCTAATGTCAAAGTCAATACTGTTTCGTCTTTCATTTTTAATCTGAGTTTCAAACCGTTAAAATTGTTTTATTTATTGCGAACCACTCGCGTTAACTACAGACAATAATAATATTAGTATTAAGCTAAAGAAATACAAAGATCTTGTACAGTCACCCGATAATTTTTATAAAGTAAAAGGAGATAAGATAAACGATTTCGATAAAAATAAGGCACTTATTGTTATAGTAAATAGTTTTAGTTAAATATTTGCTTCAGGTGGATTGCGTTCACTGTATGGCCTTCGCGATATAGCAGTAACTATTTGTTTTATCCTTATTAATTTAATAGCTATCATAATTTTCAATTTACTTCTCATGCTATTTGAAATGGCGAGCATATATAACTAATTAATGGTTGAGCTTTTTTTAGGACTGTACCAGCTCGTTTTCACTGTTATGCAATTTATATTATCATCAAGATTAATCGTCTTAAAAACAATCATAGAACTTTAAAGAGTTTAGTGATTCTAGTCTAGTCTAGTTAAAACATATAACTGTATATATCACTATATTGTTTTAGTAATTTAGATACACTTCGGCGGTATCCGTTAGCTTTGATTCGATTGTCATTAAAAAAACATTATAATAATCATAATTATAATTAGGGTTATCTTTAGTTTTTTTCCAAGTGCAAATCGCAAAGACAAAAGTAATTCAAGTATTATCACAGTTGTTTGTACCAGTTGCATATGGCATTGTGCAATCGATATATTCAACTTCTCACGTGATAAACGTATTATAATATAATCTTGTGTTGAATTTGCTTCAGCGGTTGACCTAAGGCCTGCTCACAAATTCGGATTACGTCATTCCGACCGGTCCTCTGTAAATAAATAATGTAAACAAATTTCCATTGATTTCACATAAGCGTTCGACCGGGTACATCAAGACATGGAGATGAGAATATATTTTGCCGAGTTTTAATTAAAAGTTTACCCTAGAACCTAGAAGTGTTTTATGTATGAAAAATATAAGCAGACAGTGTTCGCCTCTTAAAGACTAAAGCCGTAAACAATATCGTGAAAAACGAGATCGTTAATCCTTCGTGAATTTAGTCGGCTTCTAGTCATTATGGCAATTTCGTTAACGACGTAATTGTGCTATTCTAAGACTTAGACCTACTGCGTATAGCGGATACAACTTGTATTGTGGTTGTTTTGTCTCCGCAGTGACACGCTAAACGAGGGTTAAACATGATTTTGATTTAATTTATAACCTGTTTACAGTAGATTAGAACCTAAAAAAGATTGATATATTTTCTGCCACGAAGCTTAGAACAGTTTTTGTAAAACAATCTGTTTGAATATATTCAAACATTTTTTTGTTTTACAAAAACTGCTATAGCTGTTGTTGTAAACACTTTAAAACTTGGTGTCGACTGGTCGACGTGTTTGTTTATAACGAGTTATACACAACAAGTAGTTTCATAGTGGAAATGTATACATATTAACTTAACCTTTTATTGAATTTTTCAGTACGTTTGTTGATATCATGAGTCTTGATTAATATCTCAAAAATTAAAATTAATACGTTATAATAGAACTATATTTAAGTTACTTCTAAGCGTGTGTGCGTTGACTGTAGCTAGTTTCCATTCGACATAACATGTCACTTGACTAGATTTGAAACACAAGTAGTAAAGTTTACAAAACTGTAATCCGACCGCGTAATAACTGGAAATTACGTTCTGCGCAGTCGCATTTTAATCATATTCATATTTTCTTCTCTAAATGTTATACTCGGGAAGATCTTCTCAGTTCAAACATATAACTATGTCATTTCTGATTTTGTAACGATCCAGCTGATATTTTGTTATTTAAAATTGGTCCAATTAGCGCTATAAGTTCGGCTTTACTGCGCTGTACGGCCACTTTATTACGCTTTAATTGATATCAAATGATCGATGTTTCTTTTTAACGTAACAGAGGATTTTTAAGTTAGACATATTTCCTAGAAGAAAGGTTTTTTTTTTGTTTGCTTCGATATTACCTTACTAGACGTAATGACAAATATGGCCTATTATATAGGCCTAACTGTAGTCGTAAATTAACTCAAATCGTTATACAACGAGCCGTCAATGCGTGTGATCAATGAACGGTGAAGCGGAGGCAGTAGGCTTCATATTATAAAATCGTATAATTGTTATGACACGATTAGCTAAATAACCGTGGCATTGCTGACCGCATTGCATTATTTTATTGCGGTTTTTCTTCAAGTTGCTCAGCCGGGGCCCCTTGAGAAATCTTTGTGTGTATTGATTAAACAATGTAGGGATAGAAATATCACGTTTCAATTTTTCTTCTACTATTTGTTTGTTGTACCAATTTTGGTTTCTGGCTGTTTTAAATGATTTGAGCAGATGTAGCAAAGCCTCTTGTCAAATTGCATAAAGAGGTATAACAAATGTTTTAAATAGACAAGTTATAAAATGAAAATTCAACTAACCTAACAAAGTAAATATTAAACAAGCTTACTGTATAATATACGTGATAGAAACGAGACTATATAACCAAGTTGGTTTTGAAAACTTTATTGTTTTTTTGTTATTGCACATGAAGGCACTATACAATTTAAAAATCGAAAATAAATTGAAAAAAATTTCGACTCGGCAGGACTTGAACCGGCATCGTCAGCGTTCCGTGCTATTGAGCTACCGAGTCTTAGTTGGTTTTAAAACAATTTAAATGCCATAAAGGAAGTTCTTAACCAT